CCTAGCAAAAGGGTTAAGGTAAAAAATAATACATCACCAATACGACGCGCCGCGGCGGAGGTGCGATTATGTTCTCCTCCCTCCGAGATTTGTTCATTGCACTCGCAACGCAACACTCACGAAAATACTACTAATAACGATCGCGCGTACTAATCACCAGAATAGGATAATCACAACGGCACGCCCGTTAATCGCACGCAACACGCACTTTACTATCGTATACGTTCTTACGGAGAAATACGTGGTCACGCGAAAATAAGGACGATGATGAATCGTGTTATTATCCGAAGAACTTCAATCGTCCGAAAATATGAAATCAAAATTTCGTGCTGCACGCACGATGTATTTCAAATCCCCAAATCAGACAAAATACGCAAGTTAATAAACGTGATTGATCGATATATCATGATTTTCATTATTTAAATCACTCGATCCGACCATTCGTATATCCCGCGCTATCAAGCGGAAAAAGCAGATGAGCAGATTTCATTTAAATTGGCGAAGTATTCAAAGCGTGACATGTTACGTGAGTTTTTGCTAAAGAATTCTTTAAAAAACAAATCATAAGGAACGAAAGAAAAGTATACTTTTTTAGCGATATAATTCGATTAATTATCTTATTTAAATATAATTTATTTTATCACTATTTTACAATTGATAACGCGGGATGATATGCGAATCGCCGAGTCGAGTTCAAAAGTTCCGATAGCGGGAAACTCCGTTGCATATCAATCGTGTATTGATAATTAATTTGAAATACATCCGAATTGAGCTATCCTCTGAAGAAATTATCGCTCGTATAAATAAAACAATTTTACAGTTTTACATTTTACAGTTTTAACCGAATGGAATCACGCGAGATACTTCGACAAACAGCCAATAGATTTACATTCGTTAAGTTAATTAAAGCGCGCGGGCCGACAGCTACTAATTATTCGTAAAAGGTAATCGAGTTTCAATGGATAATACGGAGACAGGCGGAGAGTGAGTTGTGCTCCGCTACCTGCTCGCTCGAGTAGTACTGCGTGAATGACAATGCGTTGGCCTTGTGTACGAGGTCAAAACAAAACAGACATGAAGGTTGCGCGCCAGCCGTCTCGCCTCTGGGAAATTTAAAAGTATTACAATAATTATGAGCGTTATAATTCCATTTCTTTCTTTTTAAATTAATTATATCAATACACGATCGACGTGTAACGGAGTTTCTCACTATCGGAACCTAAACTCGACTCGGCGATTCGCATATCATCCCGCGTTATCAATCGCAAAATGGTGATTAAATAAATTATCAGAATAATGAATTTTCTTCGCCAGTATAAGAATAACAATTAAATAATTTAAATCGACTGACTGGCAATATATAACGTTTTTTCGATGTGAACATTGAAAAAACTGTGTAAATAAATTATATTTAAATAAGATAATTAATAGAATTATATCGCTAAAAAAAGTAATTTTCCTTTCGTTTTTTTACGATTTGTTTTCTTAAGAATTCTTCAGCAAAAACGCAGGTATAAATACGGATTAAGAGATGATATCGTTATCTGTTAAGTTTGTCAATGGATCGAAGATAATTATTAAACCCACACATCGTCTGCATTCTATTTGCCGGAACAGTGCAAAGAGAACTGTCAGACGTGCAAATAAGCTTAAGAGCGCGTACGGAGGAATTCTTTAACGATTTATTTTCGGACCTCGCCCTTGGAACGATGGAAAAAAAAGTTGCTCTAAAAATACGTAGGCGAACGCGAGAGTTTTGTTTACGGGCCGTGAAACATATTGATCAGCGTGTAATGGCTTATCGCATCTATCGCCCAGGCTGTATTTATACAGCGTATAAAATTCGCGATATTAGAGCCGATTGTCAGAGCGATTTTTAATACACACACTGTGCCGTGTATTTTCAATCGAATCAACCGACGCTACCCTATCGTGATGATTAATACACTCATTATGGTAAAGTGCGAACGTATCTTCGTGTCTATGAAAATCAGAAAATTGTCAATTCGCATTGACAAACGTTGAAAAAAATTCTCAAGAACGACGAAATAGGATAAATGTAGTGTAAACGATCCGATAGAAAATACTGTCAGTAGATAACTGAATTTTTCCGACAACAATATTATTTTTGTCACATAGAATTACATCTATCTCTAATTTAACTTTTATTATATAATAACATTCAAATATCGGTTATCGATTTGGAGCAACGACGACGTTAATTTTGCGTAAAAGTTTTATTTCCCGCACTTCAAATCAAGCTATAAATACAGATTCCATTTTTATCTTTCACGTCAGATTATCAATATATGTCAATATTCAATACTTCAATTTATTTATTCAATTTCTCGACAAAAAAAACAAACGCAGTATCGAACTTATTGAGAGATAAAATAAATCGCCTTTTTTCTTAGTGGTTAGTCCATCGAAAAGATATCTCGATGTTACTTGACTACATCTGCCATTCATGACACCAATAAGTCGATCATCAACAGTTAAGTTGATAAGCTTTCCGCAGAAATAGACGTCGCGAAGAACGTGCGAAAATCACTTAGATTTAATCATTGATTAATCTACTAAACTGCGCATTTTATTGACTTCTTGTATCACCTGTTCAAGACACGGCTTTTCTATAATAATTTTCGAAGAATATTATAAAACAACAATCTCTAAAAATCTACATCTCTTTTTTATGTTATTTTCGTATCTAGCCTAGCTTTTAAAAATTCTACCGACAAAGAGAATAAGATAATTATATAAGTGCTACAAGGCCGTAACGATATATTAAACACATTCCATCATTCGATTGATCAAAGATTCGAATAATATATATTCGTGTATTTGTCAATCTTTTTGATAAGCGAAATAATCTGTAATTCAACAATTTCTCCTAAGTTCAAAATTATTTTCGATAGTGACGTAATATCACTGATAATTAACAGTATTTTATCAATTGAATACATTTTAATAAGTAGTTTTACATGTTTAAACGAGATTCTGAATTTCTCGTGTGTGCATATTTACATCTTATTATAAGTTTATATGTGATGGATTTTTGGTTTTTCTATTTTATCTCGCGCAACACAGTTAAACTTGCGAACATAATAGTTCCTTCCATAATTAACGACTGTAAGCATCGCATCATAAATCGAAACGAATCGTGACGTACTCACCAAGTCGACGTGCTCTCGCGTACTCGCATATGCGTCTCCTCTTCATACACACACGATATGCGCTCGTCGCATATCACGGATTTCTTAATTCTCAACCGATGCAACACGATCTCGTAGTTGGCCAAAAAGCAATCCTTGCAGGTCCGAGAAATTCTCAATGCCGCCGAGATATTCTCCTTTCTGTTAATAAGAAGTCCGAGTCGTCGGACTCGCAACGACGGCGACGACTCGGACTTCGTATCGCGAGTCCTTGATGTCATCTTTCATTTGGGCGCCACTCAATCACCGATGCGATTCACGAGCGGCGTAGAAAACATCGTGCGAGGAGACGCTTCCTTCCGCTTTTACTCTCTCGGCCGCGATCCGAAGTCTCATCGAGGAAAATTCACGCGCGGCGAGAATTCTTCTCGCTAACTTAACGATTTTCGCCCGGCGACGAGTCGACGAGGTATGATCTTACTATTTCTGGCAACGCGACAGTCACCGGATCGAGGAGGCGTATCATTACGGCGCGCGATAACACATTGCACGATCCTATTATAAACACGTAATGGCAACGCCGAACGATACGACAGTACAGGAACGAGAATGATTTTGTTAACAATGCCGCGCGGAGGTGCCAACGCAGCGCTTATCAGGCGCGACGCAACTGTTTGTTTATCACTCGTCGCGTAGTACCTGGTCATTTACTCTTCGGGGATGACGGGGGTGAGTGTTTGTTTGTCGTTACGCGTGAGTTACGTACAAGAAGGAAAAGTTATCGTCTCGTGTGCTTGTTACGACAGGTAGATAGTCTCGTGATATACTCTTGATATATCGTATCCTGAGCGTGTATACGCGGATATAACGCGTTAAACCGAACTTATGAATTACGTTGACTTGTAATAAAATACTTGGTGCAATTACAGTTCCGATGCAGTTTTGATTCAAATTTTTGTATTCTTATTAAAACGGATAAAATAGTAAATCATTATTTATGAAAAAATTGTAAACAGTGATATGATATATTTTGATAATCGAGTCTCATAAATTTATTACTATGCACTATTTATTTAGAAATACTCAGAATGCAAATATAATTTTTTTTATGTTATATTCCAAATAAAAATTAGTGATATCTTGCGAAAATTGTTTATAGATTTAATTGTATACTTCTAAACTGTATATTTCTGAAACTTGATTGTTAATATTTCTCGGAATTTAAATATTATTTTTTATCATTATGTTATTTATATATGTTATTAATGTTATTTTATATTTTATATATTTATATTTTAATGTTATTTATATTATTTTAAATTCATTTTGGTGCTTTAGAAAAACAGTATTACTGTAAAAATGTTACTCAACGAAAAATTGAATAATGTTGGATAAGAATCAGCAACTTAAGAGATTTGCTAGACACTTATACTGACCTCTGTGTCGCTCAATATTGATTAGAATCTTTATCCGATTGTACAATCGCACTAAATGCAATTCACTCATAAAGTCATTCGTTCGCCAGGAGAGAATGAATCGTCAATAGATACGCAAAATATTCTTTAAATACTTAATTGGTTAATCTAATTTCAGATATCTACTCATCAAAACCATCTCGATTCTAATAACTTAATGCATTTGCACTACGATTACATTAATAATAATATCTCTGGTCATTTACATCTGACTGGACCGTTCCCAACGTTAATTAAAGTCAAGTGAAATGTAAATTATTCTCTTCTTCTCTTTCTAATCCTTTAATAAGTTAAATTTATTAAAGGATTAGAAGGAAGAGCAGAGAATAATTTACATATCAGTTGTATCGCTGATATCGTTTCTGGCACTCACCCATTGATGATGGAAGCGGATTCATCGACGTTTGGTGGGCCCGACACCTGGACTTTGGGCACGGTGTAACCGTCCTGGTTCTGTCCATAACCGCCCGCGACGTGACCTTGCTGGTGAGCGGTGGTGTAGTCATCGCTGTCGCTGCTCGGCGGTTGCTCCGATCCGACACCGCCACGAGGTCTGCAATAATAAAACGAGCCACCGGGTATTGACGAGCAGATGAACGAGGAACCGCGATAGATCTTATTGTTACGCCACGCCGAGAAGCGCGGTCGCACGTGTCTCGCGTGGTCCAGCTTCGAATTTCTGCTCCCCGAAATTTGCACCGCATGTCGTCGAGAATGTATATACGCGGATATAACGCGCAACACCGCGCATTCGGAACCCGTGAAACGCGCCTTTCCAAACGAAATTCAACCAGGCCGGTTAAACTACTCCGTTCCCTCGCGTTTCGCCGAGACGGAGGTCGACGTTTCAACTCGATTTTCCAAGCTTCGTGGCGGTCGTTTGTAACGCGAACGCGTGGACTTTAAATCGCTGAATTACCGTCGCATTATACGACGTAGCCGTATATAACAGCCAACAGATGTGTATTGATCCGGTTAAAGATGAAAGATATATAGGTACAGAGCATCTCTGGTTTACATCCATACATCCGGTTTACATAATAGTTTCTTTTCTAGAATATATTTCGTACGTATCTCTAACGTGTTTAAGACGCAACTTGAAAAATATTATGATAGAAATTAAGCCGCAAAATAATTTTTATCGAAAAACAATAAAGGCTTATATTAATAGATCCAATTTTTTTCGTACATGAAATCTGAATATAGAACATACGAATAACAACAATGTCAAAAATATAAATGGTTTTTATCAGGCACACAATAGGCTGCATAGATTTCTAAGTGTGGAGTTAGCTCGGAAATACTCGAAAAGTGACGATAGGCAAACGTCACGATCAGCTGTCGCCAGAAGCGTGACGAATCTCGTCACGATGCGGATCGGGAAATTAACTGGTCGAGTTAACCGCGAGTTAATCGACTCTATCTCACGCACGGACAGGGAGCACAATTGTGTGCCTCAACGAGAGCAGCGCGGAAAGATTCCTATCTCCCGTGAGGCATGCTCTTTGCGCACGTTACCAAAGCAATTGCCGCTTGTAAATCAGATCGCTCGGCTTCTTTTATTATCCGAGTCCCGCTCAGAACGCTTACCGCCATTCGTGAAAATCTTGAATAAATTGTGAAAGTAAAACTTGAAAAAACGAACAAACGTGGCGTCGAAATAATATTTTAATAGTGATAATAGAGTAACAGTTTTATAATAAAATCAAGTTTTAATTTAAATGCAAGATTAATCAGTGAAACTGAAGATTTTCACGATATAATTTTTTACGAGACGAGTAAAATAAATGTTAATTCATTAACAAAGTTCATAATAAAGTTTATAAATTAAAAATAACGTAATTCTTTTCTCGAAATTAAGTTTTCTTAGCACAGAATTCTTTCTAGAAAATAAATTATTTTTGCAAGTAATTCTGCCAAGTGGGCAAGCTTCGAGAATGATTGAACGTTGGCAGGTATCCCTATGATATTTTTTGCAACGTCTTCATTCCAATCTATATTTAACAATTCTGCCCTGTATTTTCCTTTCTCTTCTACTTTAATTTTCCGGATCCTTACGTCACCTATCTCGCGGAGCACGAGGATCGATCGTCCTGAACTCGTGCTGGCATTTTGCCAGTGCAGGCGCATTAATGCGAAAGGATATTTCCAGAATAGCAATATATATACGCGAGATAACGATAAGCGAAAGGGGGAAAAAAACGAAGACGTTCCGCGAATCCTGACCGCTCTGCCACGTTTCTCTCGTATCCATCACGTCGGGCGAGAATGTCCGTGACAGAACAGATGTGTTTGTGTCGCACAATTGCGAGGCATTCGTCACGTCCGGAACAAAAAACTTGCCCTTTCGCCCCACGTTTTAGAAGCGAACGCAACGATTTCTCCAATTTCACGTCTCGCGAAACATTCGCATTCGCGCGAAGCGCATTGTGTTCGCGCTAAACTCGAACCGTTTCTACTCACGGGACTCTCTTCATCGCGATAAATCACGAAGCGCTGGAAGGGTACATTTAGCAGTCGCCAACTGCGCTACAAATTTACATCGAACAGGATTATTTACGAGCTTCTTTTTCCTCGCGATAGTATGATATCCAGAATGAATTCATTTGCGCTACGTAGAAGCCATGCAACTGTGCATCTACGTCTGTCAGCCGACAAACGTGGCGGTCGAGTAACACTTGATATTTATATTTACTCGTGCTCGTTCTCCTTTCGCCTTTATTGACTCTCCTTTTTTGTAACGTATATCTAGCTTACTAACAAGGACGTGATCTATGACCCGCGATCCTGGTAAGGAACACCTCGCGGTGTTCTCGATACTGATCGCCCGCGATAAAAGCCGCATGCATAAATACGTACGCAGTACGCAATAAATGTTGAAATGGCTGCGAAAAAAACCGAGCAAGCCATTGTGATACACATTGTAAAAGCCAAGCATTGTGATGCAATGTCTGCACGCGCAAATGATCGCCGCACAATGACAACGGACGACAATAGCATTCAAGATGATTGAAGAGTTCGATCCAATAGCCAATAGCTCGCTTCTTTAAAAACAAAAATGCCTCTTTAAGACCTTCGGGATGTTAATCTAAATTCAGTGCTTCTAGTTCTGAGGTCGATCTCCCCTTAAATTTTCAAGAAAACTATTAAATCGCAACAAACGTTTCAGTTGTGCAAAGTATTTTTTTTCAGGATGCCAGAGCGCATTTAATTAAAGGACAAATTGAAGCTATACGATTTACGCTAAATTTGGGCCAATTGCGACAAATTATAATTATACAAGTATATCTATAATTATATAATTATAATTACATAATTCTATCGACATATAACGATCGCGTTTTAACGACCGTTCTAGGTCAATTCATTGAAAACGAGAACTCGTTCTACGTTGGCACTTTCGGCGTGTACACGCGGCCTTCGATCGCACCTGCGGTGAGTGCTATCGTAGCTGGCAGTCCAGTAGAGAGGCGCCACTGTCCCGCGTTATCGCTGCTCACAACGGCAGACACATGCAGAGCCTCCTTCCTGAGGCTGGAACCGGGCCTAGCCCCACGCGAAGCGGCAAGCTTCAATTATGCCAATCTTCCCGCATCCTCCTTCCGCATCTCGCCTCGCCGACGGCGCGGCGAGCCAACGACGAACTGCGAGGACCGCGGCGGAATCTGAGCCCGCGCGGCCCCGGACGAGACGCACTCTCCCTTATCAGCTGATAACACCTCTCCTCCCACTAATATCCTCCGAGAAAAATCCCTCTCAGAACATCGACGCCCGTCGACGTTCTCCTTCCTCGAGATTCTCGATGTTCCCCTCGGCTCTCTCTCGAGCTCCACCTCCCTCTTGGTCCTTTCGACTGTCACCGAAGAACCGGGAACCTTCCCACAGATGTTAGCCGCTCCCCTCGAGAGAAAGAGAGACGATCCGGACGACGAGGACGAGGATGACGACGATGGCAGAGGAGAACGACGCCCCGCCGCTTATCACCTCGATATCCCGGATGTACTCCGACGACGAGAGGTGGAATACGGCAATGCGGCGCGAAGCGTGATGTCCGCGCTCGTGCTCTACTCTCCGCAGCGACGTTCTCGGCAACGCTTTCGCGGATTGTACGTGTGGCGACGGTGCCGCTGATGTGGGCACGCACACAGACGGGGCGGGAGCGACAGGCTGGTACCGCCGCGTCTGCGCCGCGCGGCTCACCTATTGACCGAATATCATCGCGATAGCTATATAGCTTATAGCTACGAATAATGGTGCACACACCAGCAACGAGAACGACGGGCTGCTCGCGGGAGAGCGTTGCTTCGAGGTGAATCCTGAGGCTCTCTCGCCTCTCCTCATCGAGCGGCTGCGATAACCGCGATGGCCGTCAGCTGATCGCGGCTGCTGGTCTGTCTCGAGATCGGCAAATTTGTCCGTTTTTCTCTCGTTTTCTCATAATCCGGCGTCCCACGTGAATCTCTCCCTTCCGTCAGATTTTATCATTCCGTGTCGAAAGTAGCTGCACGATTTCGAAAACTCGACAACGTCTTCACCTTCCACCTTTTACCCCTACGAGCTCTGCTCGATCAATCTTCCAGGCGAAAGGCCGCAACGCCCTTTTCTGTTTTTCCCTCTGTCTAGTTTCTTGTCAATCTGTTATCATTTTGTCTTTGCTGTTTTTCTTTTTTCACGGGACACTCATCCGCCTGTTACGCCGCGGCGCTCTTCGTTACGTCAATATTTTCCAACCCCCGTCCGTTTTTTTCTTATTATGTTATATGTCCGTATATTTTTGTTAGGTATAACTCCTACAAATATATTTGTACTGTACCTACATACTACATAGCATCTGAGAGACCAGTCTTTATCTTAGCGCGTCCAGTATCTAAATTTCAAGAGAATTGAAACCAATATATTTTCATCGAATTTAACTTTGCGTCGCTGTTACCCCAATCACCTCCTCTCTCCTTATCGTCCCTTGATTCCGCGACAAGCGCATCAACACCGTACCGTACTACATTTAATTGCTTCATGAGATTCGCGAAGCGAAAATAACTTCCTCGTTGAGGAAGGGGCCGCGTTCGCAGAGCTCTCTCCTCCGCTCGTTCGTTCCCAAACGCGATCGCGGAAGTCCGCCAACGTCGTTCCGACAAAGGAGGGTCGACCGAGGCAGGGAATATGAAGCGTTCGTTGCGAGGGGGTAGCACCAAGTGTCGTTCACACAACAATCAAGCGCCATTATAATCGTTACCCTCCCGTAACAAAATTGGTATTCGTATATCTTATTGTCAGTTACGACACAATGCGGCCTCTCGACGTTGCGGGTCTTGTGTGAACGAGACTTTATCGAGGGACAATTATTTCCAACAGATGCGTCAGAATGTCACGGGAGAGGGAAAGATAATCGAGTTATTCTTCTCGCCTCATTCTAGACTAAACGTGGGCGGAAAACGTCCCCGACGTGTGGTCGGAAGCTTTTTTCGCGTCTCCTTGCGTTACGTCATACCTGGGTTGCGCAATCGAGACCAACCCTCGAGCCGGTCCGCCCAGCATCCCAGTTCGGTCGGTACGATTCCTCCTCGCGACGCAACGACGGCGACGTCGCCTTGACCGAGTAAACAATCACGCCAACGAGAGTCACGTCTCGGAGAAGATCGGGGCCGATATAATTCCGATGAGTTCAGATTCCGATGTGCTCATCGCGCGTATTAAGATCACCTTTGTACTTACTTCATGACGACGGAAACGAGAGATGATTGACGTGACCTCGCGAGACGCGGGAAGCCTGCTTCCCATCAGCACACCTCTCGCGCGGAAAGCTGAACTCGAGGCGAGGATTATATTCGTATATGGCCGCGATCTCCCCGACTCGAGGAGAAAGGATGGAAAGTGCCGGAAACGTGGCTGTGTGACTTACGTGGGCATCGACACGGCAGGACATCCAAGCTGCAGGAGGCTCCTGGCGAGATACTCCGGCGCAGGTGCGTCACTCGCAGCTTCAGGTGCGTGTCGCCTGGCGGACCGGGACGATCTGCTGTTTTCGCCGCCACCCGCGCATCTGTCCGACGCCGACGAGGACGACGTGGAGGTCGATGCCGACAACGACAACGTCGACGATGGCGACGATCTCGTGCTCGTCAGGCGCGCACGTTCTCGCGCGACCTGATCGTCGCTCGTTCGTGGAATCCTCAGGGAACCGCCGCGACGCAGGCCTAGCTCGCTCTCTGAAATTTTATATATTCACGATTAGTCATTACTTGCGACGATGATTGACGTGGGCCGCTGTTATCGTGTCAATCACAAAAGTGAAAGCAATCCGCGAAGAACGATTGAGAATTCTAGGGAACGTCGAAGTTATTATAGTTGAAGTTATAAAAATCTTCCTTTCACACTCTCTTTTCAGACTGTAGAACTAGGTGTCCTAGTGTCCTTAATTTTTATTTTTATAACGGATGAATAAATTTAACATCAATATCCTTTCCGGGAACATTATTTGCGATTGCCTCTTGATTTTTATTTTTAATGTGCAGCGTTAAATGGAACTTAGCGGTTAAATTCCAAATTGAAGTCACTCTTCCAATATATTCCAATCAAAATCGAAAAATCGTGACACTTAAATAACTATCTAGGCAAAGCATATATTTTTATACCATTAAGTACATCTGTACCTTAGAGGTAAAGAATCGTATCTCCAGCTTTTGTCGAAATACTTTTTCTATAATATATACCAGGAGTTTAAATTGTATAATGATAAAAGGTTTTAGGTCCATTATATTACTAGTTCCTAAGATATGATGTTTAGAAAAAATCGTACTGGAAATTTTCATATAGAAATAATCAACTTTAAATCCTGTTTTCTCTAAATTTCTAATAACGGAAATACGATTCTTTACCTTTATGGTATACAGATATACTTTTATATCATACTTCGAAACAAAGATAACGAATGTCTGTTCCTCACTCATGTGTTCTTCACTCGGTCGTAGAACTTTCACGATGCCGCCTTCGCAAAACTACCGAACATTCCTGCGACAACTTTCTCCTTCGCGTGCAACTCCTTCGGGCGAAGTTACTTCGACGAACGCAACAAATTGTCTGCGATCTATCGGTCGCGGGACAACCGGAACTAGAAAAGGAGTTAAGCGATGAAAACGATACACGCGCCAGCGACGCACTCGCCGTCCGGTCGCGCGTTAGTCGTTCCCGTCGTCGACGGCTTTAATTCGTTTAAAACCTCCGGTCGTGCGTTACGTCAACCCGTATATTAACGACGCGCCACGTCTCCGATATACTACCTGCATTACGTGAACGCATTACGAACGCAGGGTGCCTTTAGCTTAAGTGACTTGAACCTCGTATCGAACGCGCCGACTTACCCTGGAGCTGGAACACCCGCAGAGCCATGTTAGTGAAGATCGACAGTTCGCTGTCGACCGGTCATCCCCGACGATCGAGCTATAGGTATACCCTCTAAATATCGCGGGTTTTAGCGCACGTATTTGAGCTATGCCTATATATACGAAAAGTCAATCTATGAGAAATTCAAAATTAAGAAAACTCAAAGCAAAAATTGAAACGGTACAACTTTGATGAGTTCATAAGAATCGATGCATCATTGAAATAAATATTGATGTTTCTGTAAGAATGGAAAGATGGAAATTTTATTTGAATTATCAAAATTGTAGATGAATAACGGATTTATACATTATTTTAACATGACTATGCAATTTATTATTTATTTAGTGAGAAAAACAAAAATGATCCTTTACTTTTATTTTAATTGACTTTAAAATTTTGACGATAGAAGTAGACGTAAGCGTTCAGAATGATTTTAGGATATATTTTTTATGTGAAAACATAAAAATTGTGTTAGATATTTATTAATTATTATCATAAGCATTAAATAGTCCTAAAATTATTTTTTATTTAATGCAAGCTTGTCCCATCACGAATAAATAAAATAGTCTTTCATTACTTTTGTAGGTATATAAAGGTGTCAAAAATACATAAAATCGAGGTCACCAAAATTATACCGATTTTAATCTCTAATTCCGTATCAATGCTAATTCAAGACGACGCGAATCACAGAACGAAACAAAAGTGGAACAGATAGATCTATTCCTTTTTTACTCGAGAGGTATTTCACGAATGGTTAACGAACGTTATACGACTTCGTAGCCTTCCGTCCAACAACTGAAAATTCAAGAGTGCGGTGGAGGCGCGCGTGTACACCGGGATCCGCCACGTTTCTGGCAAAGTGCCGCGCATCGTCCTGTGTCATGCGGGAAAAACGCCACATCTCACGGAAGGTTCGACAATCGCGCCGGGCGGGTCGAAGGGCGATTCGCGAATTATTTGCAGCACGGCACGGCATGACAGTGGAGCAGTAGGCGGTTCCCGGAAAACCGCAACGTCCCGGAATTCCCTTCCATTTTCAGACTCTGAAAATCGTGGGTCGAAGAGGAACGACGTGCTTCACGGAACTTAGCTCATGCGACACCAGAGCGGAAAAACAAAATGCGAAATATAAACGAAATATAAATAAAATATATAAACGACGATTTATGGTGACGTCGCAAAAAAAAATTCAACACAGTTGTAGGATCACAGGATATTGCCATTTCATTACTTGGCTTATTTTATTCGTTCTGATGATTATTTTGACAAGCGACCCTCGAGTTGCCGACGTTAGAATGTTGAGAAAAGCTCTTGACTTCGCAAATGAATAATAGCGGGTATGAGAACATTGTAGGACAGTAACGTAAGATTTCGGACAAGTCTGATCAGCCGATGCGATTCGCGATAAGTATATACCATACTATTTGTATTTTTTTAGATCAAGTTCTTTGCATCGTTAACTCAGCCCGCTCCATCGAAATTATTGCACACGAGAAATTAATTGACAGAAATTTAAATCAATTTTCTTAGCTGCACGTTCATCGAATTTATATTATATTCGATTAAATAAAAAAATATATAAAAAACTAAATGAAAAAAATACCGAGGATTCAAATGTCTACAAAAAAATATAATTTTTTATAACAACCAATAATTTGGAATAAAACCTCGATGGATAATGATTTGCGTTAATATAATTTTAATCTTCTACTATTCAAAATTTACTAATCGTTATTTTCATTCGAAATTTTCTTTTAACATTCTGCTATCGTTTATTATTTAAATATATTTGATCTTGAAATTTTAAATAACCGTATTATCTCTGATTATGAGACAAAATTCTGAGAGAGATATAGTTAAAAGATATTTTGTACCTCACAAACACGAAATTTACAGACGTTCTTATTGATCTATTTTCCCTTTTGTCCAGAATGCTGATATAAATGCTCTGTCATTATCTCACACTATCCATTACAATTAATCCATTCACGGTAAACATCGATCGTGTTCTAGGCAAGAATGGTCGTTTACAACCAAACAATTTATCTTCGATATTAGAACGAAAGTGGCTCGTTTGCGTAATTATGTTTAATTGCTGCTGTTAGATGCAGCTGCTGCTTTGAGAGGAGCGATAACTGTCCGCGATTTCGTCATAGATATGTTGAAATTATTTCACTCAGAGAGTGTTGCAATAAACATTAAGTAGATAGACATCGAACTACGGTGTGGAAGAATAATGTAACTACTGCATATCGTTTTGAAAAATAAAAAAGAATTTAAGAATATCTAATATAAAATGTAATCATTTTTAAAAGCATTTCTATATGGTCTTTTCATATAAAAATGCAATAATTATTTGTCACCTTTTTAATAAAAATATTCGACGTTATTTCTACAAATAATATTAAATATTTAGTGATAATTATCTAATGAACGTTCTTGGTGTTGTTTAATAGCACGTGGCCTCTTCAAAGACGACGCATATTTTAAAATCTACAAAAATTTCATATCAGAAAATGGCTCCAAATGGGAATAAATCTATAGAATAAGCTGTTATATATTTAAAAAATATATTTAATGCAAAAAACTTGGTGTCACGTGAATCATTTATTTCTTTTTCGCATCGTTTTCGCATTTGGATGGGATTTCACTGCAATGTAAAGTAACAAAGTACGCGTCGCGTGCAACTAATATCAGGAGTGCCGTGTAAAATGCAATTATTCCATCATGATGATTAATACGCGCGATCGTAATTAACCATATTTTTGCGAGTGAACTGAGCGAATCTGCGAAGAGGAGGCGACCTAAGAGTTTCAACGCAGTCGTGCAGCGTGTCTCGCTACTACGTGTCGTATCAGTGAGTAATCGTTATCTTTTAACATCTTATCTCAGTTGATTTATTTTTAACTTTCCTTTCAAACCGTTATTGTATTACGTAACGTATACAGGTCTGATAAAATAATAATTATATCGCACATATTTTTGGGATGTTTTATCCAGAATAACATAAATTAATAAATAAATAAGAGTGTAAAAAATAACAAACAAATAATGTTGTTTTACTTTTTTTTGTTTATATTTGAAATAATATTCCGTGAACGATTTACACGAATATCCAAAACTGTGTAAAAACTGTTTTTATTTGTTCCGTGTGATATGTATACAAAAAAAAAACATTTAGTGGGAAAATTCATGTTTTCCTCCAGGTGCCAGTTTTCTCAAAAAGACAGGCAAACAAACATGCAGTTTTTCCTATGACGCAAATCACACATCGTTTAGATAAAGGCTTAGATAAAGTTCAAAGTTTGCACGACGGTAATAATGTCTTATTAGCGAGATAGTATCGGCAATATGCACGCCATACACAATTTCGATTCAATGCAAATAGATACGATCCGTCAGCCGTCAGTGTAGGATTCAGCGACCTTAATTTGCCGATTGCGTATTCAAATCAAACCAGAATTAATGCGTATTAATTTTCCACGTGTTTCACACGATTCTCACCTTCCGCTCTAGGTACTGTATGACGCGTTAACGCGCAACTAGATTGCAATTAGTATCAAATAACATATAAAATAATAAATAATTGTATATTATACGTATTGTAAACTATGTTATAAAATAATTTAATACATAAGATACATACGTACATATAATATATTATACAACTGAGATATTACTATTACAAGCAGCGCAATAAAAATGTATATTCGGATAATTTTCCGAAATATAAACAATTAGCTAACGCGTCATTAAGTAGCAAAAAACGATTCTTTAACGACGAGGTTTGATATAAAAAAAATATTACATAAGAAAATCACTTTATTTTCAACTAAGCAAATTTACTTTAAAATAATATGACAAAAGTGATAAATCAAACTAAAACTGTTAATATGTTACTCTTTCGTGTATTTCCCGAATTATTTTCAATACCTGAGCAATGTCGCCGACTGCACTTGACCGCAGTTGAAACTCGACAGGTTTACGGTGACTTCGAGCGCCGCGGTCTGTTTGCAATAATTCGGTCAGCGCGTGACGTCAGTTATCAGACGGCTGCCAGACAAAGTCGCGTCGCATTACCGGATTTAATTTCGGAAATTCGCGACACACAAATGCAAACAGATACTCGGAATGTTCAAAGATAAAATTATATATCGAACGTCGGAGCGTGGCATGAGATTGCACCGGGGAAAAAGCCGCCAGCGGTCGTTATCCCGATCGCGTCACGCGGATTTCGAGAGAGAATGCCGTCGGGACTTCGGAAAATTGTTTTCGTCATCGATCAAACGTAAATCCCGTCGGGGAAACTTCAAGCAAAGCCGATAAAAGTGGATTTACGAAACCTGCCGCGGAAGACCTTGAGGCGAATGATTCAGGATAAAAATGCATATCGCGGTTTCGACCTATACGTGACATCCGGCCAAAGATTAAAGGAGCGTAACGAGCACTTGGGCGTGGAAATATTGGCCCCCGACAAAGTTAAAGTTGATATGGACCGAGTATACGTATTGTTTTGATTCAAGTATCGTAAGTTTTGGAAACGTCTAAAGGCGCTTATTAATATTAATTTCGAACGCGTGTGCGTCTCTGCGCCAAAGCAACCGTTGCCAATTGTTGGCCATAAACTTTTCTCAGAATAATCTGTTAACGTACGTTCGCACGTTGATTTGTGAACATTGTACCGTAGAATACAGTGCGTAGAACAGTGTATACGATTAAATAAATCTATTTAAATCTATTTAAATAAAATCACGACTGAATAAACTTGATCTCCCTCCGAAGGCACGGAGTTCACGTGACGTATATATATAAGCACATGAATCACAAATGCACGCCCTCACCGACGCCGAATGCTTTTATACTTCTCGCTATTAATAATCTTACGATGTGCGTGATAACAAACGGCTCACGCGAGAAAACGTAACGTGTTGCTTGTGTCATACGTTACATGTGTCTCTGATCGTATGTCGACGTACGTAACGTTACACATGTTTCACTTGACGCGTTCTTTCGAGCTCGTGTTTTGCTAGGAAGATGAGTCAGAACGAGGCCGGCGATTAGGCACTAATTACTTAATGCCGGAATTTGTGTTCCGTGAATAAAGATACATTGTTCTGGAAGAACGTTTCTTTGTACCGTTAGAAATACTGGCAAGCAAAATTAATAAAAAATTTTAATAGAAGAAGAA